GGGAGGCAGAGGAGAGCTGAGCTGGGGCTGTGCTGAGGCTCCTTGCTCACCTGGGTTTGCCCACAGGGGTGTGGATTTTCAAACTTTCCTTGGCATTTTTGTGTTTTTGGAAGAAAACAGGCTTTCCTGAAGATTATTTTGCCTTGTTCTCAAGGGCTGAAATTCACAGTAATAGGTCAACATATTTTAGAAAGAGAAGGCAAAATGGCTGTTAAATGTACATCCAGATGTCAGATCTCACTTTTGATGCTATTGCTCTTTTGTTGCTCTGTTTTGGAAAGACTTGCAGAGATGAGAGTGTGGGGGAAAAAAAATCCAACAGGTCCCTGTGACTCCTGGGTTAGAGAAGGTGCTGTAACCACTGCTTGGCTGTTGGCACTGTGGTGTGTGCCCTAGAGGGTTGAGCCTGGCTTTGGAGCTTCCCAGCTCCAGAACTCAGTCCTTAGAAGGGCAAACATCTGGTTTCTGAGCAATGCTTAGGGGGGTTTTATGCTTTTTTTTGGGGGTGGGATGTTTTTCCCATCATAGTGCTGCAAAAAAGCTTGTTTCAGTACTTTTGTAAAGTCTTCTGAAGGACCCTGTTTTAATGTCCTTTAAATAATAAATGGCTTTTTTTTCTTTTAAGTCCTCTTTCCCTTTTTTCCCTGAGTGAAAAGGCAAAGTGCTGCTCAGCAGTGCTGCCCTTCCTGGACTGGATCTGCCTCTAGTTTATCTGACAAGAATTCCAGTAACTTCCCAAAGCCTGTGAAACTCTCTGACGTCTCATGATTTTCCTAACAGATGGGTCAGGGAGTTCCTGAATGAAGAAAACAAAGGCCTGGACGTTCTGGTGGAGTACTTGTCGTTTGCACAGTATGCAGTCACGTAAGTAAGGCCTGTCTGGTACTCTCTGGGCTTGCAAGGCAAAGCAGCAACCCTGTGCCACCTCTGCAGAGCAGGAGAGGGAAATGCTGGGGCTTTTCTAGCAGAGCTTTCCTGCCAGCAGCTTGGTGCAGTGCTATGGGTGTACCTTAGACCAGAGGAAATGGGAACATGAATCCAAGACCATTGGATCACAACAAGTTGCAGTGAAAAAAAAAATAATCAAGCCTAAAAGGCTTGAGATTATTTATATCTAAGTCTGTACTGACACACTTTTGCAGCTTTGGCCTCTTGTCTTAGAGGTACAGTACAAAAGCATTCAAGAAATGTGTGGAAGCATCCAGGCTTCCTTAGAAACAGACTTCCAATTAGTGCCCAAGCCCAAGGAATTATGATGCTGCCTACCCTGTTCAAAGCAACATCCACACATGAACCACTTCTCACAAGGCTCCTGGCAAGCAAAGGTGTTGGCATCATGTGGAGCAGATGTGCTGCAGGAC